GTTTATACCTAGCTTCAGCTTCTTGTTACTAAAATGTACTAGAAATTTCTCTAACAAATTTAAAGATCTCTTACGTATCTAAGCTTTTTTCCCTAAACTCTGTAAAACTAATTGAACACCATAAATTACTTACCAAAGACTAAAGCGATAATACTTGTAAAGTTTGCTTCAAAAAAGACAACGTGCATACACAAAGCACCCTAACTTCATCAGTACACAAGGAGAGGAGAAGCTGGATGTAGGCCACTAACCACACACAAATACCATACTTGTAACTTATCCTGTGCTGAAAGGAAATCAGAGTTACAAGCTTGAAAACCCGTGTGATGCTAAGTAACTTGTCTGTTGGCTTCCTTACCAGCTAGGTATACATGCATCTACCTCAACACAGAGGATGTTGGTACTAACAAGATTCCCTTATTGTCTTTATTTGTTGCTTGGACATAGAAACCAGCGGTGAACAACCACCACACATTTCACAACTGAGATTTCCTTCACAGACATTTTGATTTATCAGTCTCTATGCACTTTAAATCAATAGCTGAGCTGAGGACAAAACTAACATACGTACTACAGTTGACTGTTTCAAGAGAAGTCTTATGTTAAAAGGTTGAGCTTTCAGTGCTAGAGTCCCTCATAACACAGGAATAAAGTGCAGGGTAAGGATGGGCTTCCTATCTGTCACATGACTAAAAGTATGGGTGATCGTAAATGTGGCAGACAACCCACACTATATTTTTTTTTCAAGTTGATACTTCAAAGTGGCTTCCTATCTGTCACATGACTAAAAGCATGGGTGATCATAAACGTGGCAGACAACCCACACTATATATATTTTTTTTTTCAAGTTAATACTTCAAAGAAGTCCTCAGATAACCCACAAGTGAACAAACACAGTGGGCTACAGCCTGCACTCAGCAGCTTCCCGTGATTTGGGCAAAATTTCCCCTTTCCTTAGTCACACACACATGAGATTTTAATTACATGAGTAGAATCCCAGCATACAGAAATAGGTTCAATACCTAATTAAAAAAAATAACACAAATCAGAGTTCTCTTCCATGTTTTCTCACATACTGCTTGCAAATAAACTTATTATTCTGCTCAGAAGAGATGGAGAGGTATAGAAACGTCAAAAAGAAGGCTAGACCCAAAGTTGGTAGAAGTGAGCCATCTCTCCTCAATACTCATACCTTGATCGATAAATGCAGAGGTTTCTTCTCATGCTGCTTAAGTTTTATAAATATCACAGACCTTGATAAGATACTCAATATCAAGAAACAAGTTTAGATTGAGTTTAGATTACAATCCCTTTCAAATCTAAGAAAAAGTCATGAAGAAAACAGGACTAGGCAATATAGAAATAAGGTCCTCACAGAGGCCTCCACTACGCCATCAAAGCAAGACAATCAATTTTTCAATCTTTTTTTTCCCTCTTTTTCTTTTTGGAAGAAGAACTAGAACAATCAATTGAGATTTCTGGTAGCAAAAAGTCTGAAGTGCTCTTAAATAAGATCATGTAACAATTGTATTAGAAAAAGTTTCCAAGGGATGTTAAAAGCAAGAAAACAGCTTTAAAAGCAAAGCTATAATAGCACCTTAGAATTGTAAGCTGATGTGAAATACCCTTTCATATAGAATTAAAACAGTTGCTAAAAGAAACGTGTGGGTACATAAAAACACATTAGGTATTAAACAGTTTAGAAGCTACCACTGATTTGGGGGAGATAGGGGAAGAGTAGAAATTCACCACATGCTG